CAGAACTTATTTGGAGAAAGCGCGGGGAGGCACCGCCTTCCCTTCCTCCTCCTCCTCCTGCTCCTCTTCCTCCCTCCCTGCCCCCGGCTCCTGCCCAGCCCCGCCGCATACCTGCGAACGTACGTCCGAGGCCTTCTTCTCGGTCAGCTCCAGCTTCTCCTGCGCGTCCTTCAGGTTCTCCGAGTACTTGTCCAGCTCGTCCTCGGTCCCCTTCAGCTTCTTCTGGAGATGCGTCAGCTCCTCCTCCACCTGGGGACGGAGTGGGGAACGCGTCAGTCGGGGGGCCACGTCCCCGGGGCGCGGGAGCTCCCCCCACATTAACCAGAGTCCTCTACCCGGGCCTGTCTCCGCCTCTGTAAACGGGATCGCAACACCGTGCACCACTCCGTAAACGACACCGTGAATTTCATTTTCACATCCTTTCCTTGTCCTGGGACCCGCTGTACTTATCTGTTGCAGGGTTCCCCAATACTCTTGGGGAATCGAGTACAGCTTGGGAGAAACTTGAGTCCTGACACAGTTCCCCAGAAATACACATTCAGTTTTGCATCCCAGTTTCAGGGGTGCAACCTCCCCGTGATCTGGGTTAAAGTGAAAGAAGTCTCGCCCTAGCCGGTTTGGTTCAGTGGATAGAGCATCATCCAGCAGACGGAAGGGTCCCAGGTTCGATTCCGATCAAGGGCACATGCCCAGGTTGCGGGCTCGATCCCCGGTAGGGGGCGTACAGGAGACAGCCAATCAATGGTTCCCTCTCACCATTGATGTTTCTATCTCTCCCTCTCCCTTCCTCTCCGAAAGCAATAAAAAAATATATTTAAAAAAAGGGAGGGAGTCTCATGGACCATCCCTACTTCCAGCTGACCCCCCTCTAGTTCTGCCCCACAGCCTCAAGCCAGAGAACCTTTCTAAGTGTATGTTTGCTCTCCCCCTGCCTAGAACCTGTCATGGCTCCCCATTGCCCAAGAGAGTGGTTTTACATTATCTCACAAAAATGAAAGGTTTAAGGGCTCAGACGGCCCCCATTCCTGGACTTTGGGGGCTTGGCTAGAAGAGAGTTACCCTGCAAAAACCACTTTCTTCTGAGGCTCAGATTAAATCTTTTAAATTCTTGCACATGTGGCTTTAATCTTAATAAAAACGTTCCCTACATTTCCCAAATTTGAATCATCTTTGTTTATCCTTTGTTTAGTCTTGGCCCCCTCCCTACCCCCACTTTGAGAAGCTCAGGTCCGTGGCAGACAAACCACGCACCCTTCACCTCCCCATTTCTATTGCCCCCCAGCCCATCGGTGAGGATCAGCTCAGGAAAACCCCAGGCTGCACCTCCCCCTGCCCCTAATCCTGGGCTGAGGTGGTTAGTTCAAGTCATGCTGGGACCAGACTTGTGACTTGGGTAGTTTGACTCTGATCCTGTCCATGCTCCCAGCAGCCCTCTCGGGCTCCCTTCATCCTCCTGCCTCCTCTTCACTTCCTCTTCACTAGAGTCACTTTCCCCAGGTCACACAGCAGAGGAACCGCATCCCTTCCGACTGGTCCTCACGCCAGGCCTGCTTTCCTGCATCCCTCTCTGACTTCCTTCTCTTCCTTCCGGAAGAGGGTATGTTACAAGCTGCCGTTCCTGCAGCTTTTAGGTCAAGCTGGGAGTCTGATCTGGGTTACACGTTCACTCGTGAGATGTGCAAAGTATGGGAATGTGTGTGTGTGGGCGCACGCACGCACAAATTCTTAAAAGGGCCCCTGTCCCAAGGCGATATCACCTAGCTTCCCATCCCGGAACCCCTGAGTGTCCCACGCTGAGGTGGAAATGGTGCAGGGGTGCAGCAGCTCTCAACCTGTGGGTCGCGACCCTTTTGGCGGTCAAACGACCCTTTCCCAGGGGTCGCCTAAGACCATCCTGCATATCAGATATTTACATGATGAGTCATAACAGTAGCAACATTACAGTTATGAAGTAGCAACGAAATTAATTTTATGGTTGGGTCACAACATGAGGACCTGTATTTAAAGGGCCAGAAGGTTGAGAACCACTGGAGAGGATCGGAGGAGGGGGAAGGTGGCAGCAGCTCAGGCCTAAATCAGGATCTATGGGCCTTGACCTTGACCTCCAGGTAAGGAGCTCAGAAGCCTGACTCCAAGCCCCAGCCGTATTCCTTTTTTAACCTCAGTTTCTTCTGCAAAACGGAAGCCCTGACATGGTGGACTCCGGTGCCCATCCAGCTACAGAGATGATTGGGTTTTGATGACCTTTTCTGGCAAAATGTGTACAACGGGTGGGGACTGGGATAAAGTGGGCAGAGGGCCATGAAGCAATTAGAATGTGCCAGGCCCGTTACTGAAGGCCCATGTTATAGAAGGGTAAACTGAGGCCCCAATGAGGAAGGGACTTGCCCCAGGCCATACAGATAGGGGATTTGAACCTTGGAGTCAGACGGACTCCAAGTTGGTTTGCTTGACCACTAGGCTAGGCTTTGCCCACTGTCCAGCACACCCATCTCCCACTGACCTTCCACACCCAGCGCCAAAGCCCACTCTGCTGGGCGGTGTGCCTTGCTGTGCTGGACGGAGCCCTTGTCACCCCCTTGGACCCTCCAGTCCCTGTCCCTCCCTGGTCTAGCCCTACCCTGGAGGCAGGGAACCTCCCTCTATGTTTGGCTCCATCTCCCCCAGCCTGGGGCTCCTTGGGAGGCAGGCCTTGGGCGAAGGTCACTCTGGGCCCCAGCATCACCCAGCACGGGCTGGGCACTCACCACCGACCCCTGGAGGAAGTTCTCCGAATGCATCAATGACACAACCCCAGCCCCTTTAATGGTTGGAGTTGGTGTGAAAAATAAATAAGACCGACACTTATCAGTTCCTTTCTTTCCCTCTGAATTCCACACATGAAGCATGTGCAGGTGCGTGGCACCTTGCTGGTGGGAGGAGCCTTGCCCTGGCTCTGGGGGGTCTCGGATAAGTCACTTCCTCCTGTTTCCCTGCCTGTAAATCAGCTGGGAGGGTCATGGACTACACACCTTGGTCCCCATAATGGGGGCTTCGGACAGGGCTGAGGCAGGATGTGGGGTCAAAGGCCAGTTGTGGCGGATGTCACTGCCCTGGGAGAGAAGTGGGCAGGAAGCAGGCGGGCAGGACCTCTTGGTTCCATTCCCACACTCAGCAGGCGGGGTGGGGGTGGGGGTGGGGTTAGAGGGGCCTGGAATCTGGACTTCGCTGCAGGGTCCTCAGGGCTTCCTCTGAAGCATGCGGCACTCTGGGTAAGTTGAGCCCCTTGTCGGCCCCCTGCCTCTGTTCCCAGGCAAGACTGCCCATTGGCCCCAAGGGGCTCTGGCTTTTGCTTTTGGCCTCTCGGGTCTTGGGTTTCATGCCGGGCCATCGGAAGCATCATTTGCCCCCATTTCTCAGATGAAAACACTGAGGGCTCAGAGGGGGTCAGCAACGTGCCCTGAGTCACAAAGCTAGATGATCTGGTCTGGATTTGAGCACCGTCCACCGAGTGGGAGGCTTTGTGGGGATGTGTGTGGGGGGAACAGAATGAAAATCGAGCTGGAGGCCAGAGAACCTGTCCCTGCCCCCTTGGCCACACAGCTGCCTGGAGACTTTGAGGAGCCTTCCCTTTTGAACTTGTGTCTGCCTTGGTGGAGTATACTATATCAGTCACTCACACCTTAGTGAAAATTAGAGCCATCAAGTTGCTTTTCTCTGCTAAGCTCCTCATGGTGAGGGCTGCATGATCTATGGAAGCAGGCAGCTCAGGGCAGGCACAGGATGGGCGGCTATGTTTGTCAAGGAGGGGCCCAGGGCAGGGAGGGCTGAGGTGGAGCTGCCCTATACAGATGTGTCACAGCCCCAGGAAGTAGGGAGGGGCAGGAAACAACCTTCCATTTATTGAGCGCCTACTCTGTGCCCGGCGCAGTGATAGGGAATCTACCTGCATAGTCACCTCTAATCCTCTCATGGCTATGAGGGAGGTACCACGGTCGCTTCCCCGTTTCACACTTGAGGCCACTAAGGCACAGAGAGAGGAAAGCCATTTGCTCCAGGTGCTCAGTGACCAAGCTTCCGACAGGGCCAGCCTGGGCTCAGAGCCTGTGCTTGGACCTGCCAAGCTGGCCTGGCGCCCGGGCTGGGCAGGGCTGGCACTTGGTGTCACTGTCCTGGGCAGTTAGTTCTTGGGGCTTATTTGAGACCCTGATGCTCCTGAGGACTTGGTCATTGACTCAGGGGATGTGGATGAGCCCCGGGAGGGGGGGGGGCAGGGCCCGATGGAAGGGGCAGGACCCTCTCCCCTCCTCTCATTGGCTGCTCTGGCCACCAAGGCCCCGACAACTGATTTCTGCTCTGGATGGCCCAGCCCGGCCCAGCCCAGCCTCTACCATTGCTCCTCTGATAGCTTCCTGATGTGCCCTTATTGCCGGGGCCTCCTGGGACTCTTGTCCCTGAAGCCCTGCCTCGTCCTGCCAGGTTCGCAGCAGGGGCACCCAGATAAGCAGAGCCTCATGGAGAGTCTCGCA